AAATGGACTTCTTATGATAATGAAGGAAAACTTGTGCCAAATTATGACGATTTTTATACACTAGTAAGCTTTCTTTTTTTAATATACAAATTTTTTTAAAATCCAATTCTCTAATTTCTACACAATTAATTATATTCATAAGTGGGATACGTTTAGGCATGTATCATAAATTCTACATCATTTTTCCTAACGATATCCCGCGCAAGGATTGTTTATTCATACAGGAACCCCTGCGGTTTCAATCTGTTTGCGCAAACATTATTAATATATTTTGTATCATATCGTTATGATTTTGAATTCAATTTAGATCTACGATTCCGTTATTTACATTATTTCAACAATCCAGGGTAATTGACATTACTCGCTCACTAATTGATATATACCAACATGAAGGATACATGCCTGATGGCCGTAGTGGGATGTCAAATGGGATAACACAAGGTGGAAGTAATGCTGATATGGTTGTTGTAAATATATATATATTTTTTTTTTGAAAAAAAAAAAATTTTTTATTGTATAAAATTTTATAAGTAATTACAATTAATACTTTACGGTTTCACGTATTATTATTATTGTTTAAAAGGCCGAAGTATTCCTAAAAAACTTTACTAATAACATAAACTGGACATTAGCCTATAAGGCATTATTAAAAGATGCCGAGTATAATCCATGGGAGCGAGGAATTTTTGAAGGAAGAATGTTTTTACCATATTATAAAGCGTTAGGATATATTCCATTTCCTACGCATAGAATGTTGAGTTATGCTTATGTACCTTGTAGTAGAACTATAGAATATTCAACTAATGATTGGTCTATTGCTTTGGTTGCTAAAAGTAAGTTTTAGTCAAGATAACGGATATGTGATAAGAAATTAATTTTATAAACATTTATTTCATTTATTTTCGATTGGTACGTAGAATTGAATAAAGAAGCAGATTACATAAAATATCAAAGTCGAGCTAAGAATTGGGAAAATTTGTGGTATCCTCATAAGACCATCAAAGGTACTTACAATCCGTATCTTTTATTTCAAATCTATTTTCTTAATAAACTTTTTAATAACATCCTATAATCATGATAGGTGCTAAAGGATTCATTTTACCACGATTTATAAATGGATCTTTTGATACATCATGGAACGTATTTAATCGTTCTGAAAACATTCCGTATTACGAAGGATCTGCTTGGGAATATAGTTTGGATGTTTTACATGGCAATATATATAGATATTTTCTCATTTTAAATACGCGATTTTTTTCTATCACATTATTACTCAACTAACGAGATTCTGTTTACTTTTATATCATAATACAACTATATTAACAACTTTATAACAACTCTATAAG